GCCATCCAGAACTTGTTGGGACGATTAAGCTAACACGCAGAGACCCCTACCTGGCGCGCCAACTGTCGGTGTTTTGGACCGGGGGGTCCTCAACCAACTAGTAAATGTGAACTGCGTGCTCCTAATCCCGGATGGTGATGCAAAGAGACACAAGGTTTATACTGGTTCAGGCAATTGGTGCCCTACGTCCAGTCTGAGAGATCGATCTTATATTCCTTGCACCGAAGTGCTTGGAGTAGGGGGTTACAAACTGGGTGAGAGAGGGAGCTAGTCCCAGGTCTCGGCGTGGAACAGTGCGGGCTGCTTGAGACGTTGCTCTCAGGCAGCTTGGGAGAGCGTATGTCTACGTGAGCCTATCTCCGTGAGCTCGTGAGTGCCTCCCCTTAAGAACGGCCCCGGTCTCCCCTTTTATAGTTGAAGGAGGGACATGGGTGATACATGTGTTCGCCATGCGGCGAGCGGAGGTGGCGTGCCGGAGTCCTGTAGCTTACTACGGTAGCGGCATGGTCAACAGAGTGGTCTTGTCCTTGATGTACTGGAGCAACGCGCCAGTCACACCCGATTTCGTATGACGTGGGCGCTCCAGTGACAGCTTGACGCAGGGTATGGCCGACGGTGTGCTGGTCGCTATGGGTTGACTGTGAAAAGAGCCGAGGCTCAGTTGGTGCCGAGGCTGAGCCATCATGGGGGGCTCGGTGGGCACGAATCCCGAGGCTGCCGAGACCTGGAAGTGGATTGCCGAGGCCTTGGAGGGAGCAGTTGGTCTCATGCACCGATTCCGAGGCTACAGTGACCCGTGCCTGCTTTCCCACGTCATGCTGCTCCTGGAGCAGGAATTAGGTAGCACAGTGCAGTACGAGCGCCAGGCATGGGTGCAGTGCTGAGCACAGTGGCCAGTAACCCATGTTTCGTCCTGTCTCACGTCCCGTCGGCCACCCTGTTGTACTACGCCCAAGTGCGACTGACGTCGTGGGAGTGGTTGGACGCGTGATGTTTTGTCAGAGAAGTCGGTCGAGGCGGAGGCGACGAGGTTGTTGCCGAGCCGGCCTCGAGCGAGTCGGAGAATCGGTACTTCGTCCGAGGCTTCACTCGCGGGGCCTCGGGCGAATCAAAGAATCGGTAACCCGTTCGAGGCCTTACGGAGCGGGGCCTCAGTGAAAGCTCTAGTTTGGTTTTAGTTAATTGATGAAACCCTAAGTGCTAACCTAGTTTATCAAGATGATTATGAGATAGGTAGCACTACTCCAAGTGATGAAGCAATGATGAAGATTATGACAATGGTGATAGCATGGTGATGATCAAATGCTTGAACTTGGAAAAGAAGAAAGAGAAAAACAAAAGGCTCAAGGCAAAGGTATAAAATGTAGGAGCCATTTTGTTTTAGTGATCAAGACACTTAGTGAGTGTGATCACATTTAGGATAGATAGCCGTACTATTAAGAGGAGTGTAACTCGTATCGAAATGCGGTTATCAAAGTGCCACTAGATGCTCTAACTCATTGCATATGCATTTAGGATCTAGTGAAGTGCTAACACCCTTGAGAATATTTGTGAAAATATGCTAACACATGTGCATAAGGTGTTTGTAGGGTTGAGATGGATTTGGCGCTTTCGGGAAAATGAAATGTCTATTTTCTATTGCGCCGGATGCAAAATTCTTGGTGGTTGGCACATTTGAGCAAGGGTGAAGAAGTTAGAGTTGAAATGGAGTTGGTCGAAATGATGCTGGCGTCGGTCTACTGACCGGACGCTGGGTCACTCAGCGACCGGACGCTGAAAGGCTGCGTCCGGTTGTGCTGTCAAATGGCATAGTGGCTAAGGTAGAGCACCGGACGCTGGTCTGTGTCCGGTCAAGGTGGACCGGACGCGTCCGGTCGAAGAAATACGCCTCGGGGAGCTTACTGGAAACGACCGGACGCTGGGGCTTCAGCGTCCGGTCAGTTTTTGCCGGAGCGTCCGGTCAGCTTCGTAGCCGTTGAAATCTGACGAACATCGTTTGAAGCTGGTGACGTGTGGCGTCCATCGGGCGACCGGACGCTGAGGGCCAGCGTCCGGTCAGAGCGTGTTTTGCCCAGTGAAGGGGTACAACGGCTCTATTTGATGGGGGCTCTATTTATAGCCCCATGGCCGGCTCAAGGGCATTCTCTTGCACATTTTCATTGACATAGCAACCTTGTGAGCTTAGCCAAAGCCCTCCCACTCATCTCCATCATTGATCCATCATCATTGTGAGATTGGGAGAGAATTCAAGTGCATTGCTTGAGTGATTGCATCTAGAGGCACTTGGTATTCGTGTTGCGCTGCGGATTTCGCTTGTTTCTCTTGGTGGTTGCCACCACCTAGACGGTTGGAGCAGCGGTGAAGGATCGGCACGAGTTGGTGATTGTTCGTGGCCGCCTTCGGTGATTGTGAGGGGAGTTGTACCTTCCCCGGCGGAGCGCCGAAAGGTAACTCTAGTAAATTGCTCGTGTCATTGAGTTAGCTCACTTGTGGGTCGGTTCTTGCGGTGTCCAATTGTGTCGACGAGGTTTGTGAAACACCTCTTAGCCGCCGAACCACCAAGTGTTGGTCGACACAACGGGGACGTAGCGTGTTGGCAAGCACGTGAACCTCGGGAAAAAATCGATTGTCTCTCTTCTTTGTCATTCTCCCGGTGATTGGCTATATATTCATCTTGTGATTGGTTCATCCCCTACACGTCGTTATAATCACTCTACTCACTCATTTACATTCTTGCAAACTAGTTGATACAAGCTCTTTAGTGTAATTAGAATTGAGAGCTTGCTTTATTATTTACATTCATCTAGTTGAGCTCTTTAGAGTAGCAAGGTTGAGAGCTCTTAGTGAGTAATTACATAGCTAGTTTGTGTGCCTAAGTATTCATTGCAACTAGAATTGTTGTATAGGTGGCTTGCAACCCTTGTAGAGCTAGAGCAAGTTTACATTACGCTATTTGTCATACTAATCAAATTGCTCTAGTTGATTTGTAGATTTTTAAATAGGCTATTCACCCCCCCTCTAGCCATATTAGGACCTTTCACTCAGCACGAGAGGGCCTCGGCGAGGGGGCCTCGGCGCGAGGCGAGAGTCGCTATGACGTGGGCTTCAGGCGAGTCGGAGAATCGGCCGAGACCCTGTGATTATCCTTTGGCTTTGATATTTGCGAGGTCCTAAGCAATCCTTTCGGTTCTTGCTTAGGGTACCCCTTTTTTATGGTATCCGACAGCAGGCGTGGAGTTGCCGGGTGACGTCGTCCTGTGGGCATCTTCTTGCAACATGCGGTGCCTTCATGGCACCAACGGCGCCGCCGCCGCTCTTGCGGGTCCCAACCTCACCGTCGATGACGCCCCTCTGCCGCCGCTCTTGTGTTCGTGCTCGATTGCTCCATATCGGAATAGAGTGGGGGTAGCTGAGGAGGTGTTTGTTTATTACCGTTGCATTCCAATTTACTACTGTCTCATGCTTGATTATAGGATGCTCCAAATTTATTAAGTAAGTATCGACTCCTCAATTTGGATTATTACATTTCCGTTCAAAAATGGATAATTTAAAACTAACTAGCGTCCATGTAAATTGTGTGAGTAGCTAGGCTTTTTATATATAATATTTGATTTGTTCTCATTTTAAATTGTTTTTTTTTATAAATAGTCTTGTTTCTTTGATTGTATTCCATGTGTCACGTCACATCCATTGGCACGAACTTCATGTAGTCATCTTCCTCCTCCTCTTTTCCCCTCTCCAATCACAGTGGTTGTGCTAGTTTTGCCCATGCCAAATAAAGATATCATTCAATTTGTTTCTAGTGAGGATAAAGTCCTTTTTCAACCATCAACTTGAATGATAGTCGTCTGATTTTCATCCCAAACTATGAAACCGGCCACCATACCATTGAAACTATCTAGACAAGATAAATTTATTCTGCTAACTGGTTTCAAAGGCAGGGTTTTATTTCTAAAATAATATTAAAATAATTCATCAATAAAATTCATAATTAATTTATTTTAAATAAAAATATGTGAAACTAGTATATGTTTTTAAAATGTTATCTATCTATTGGTGTCTTGGTTGTTTATTTGGAGTTATTTATATCCTATTTGTTTATGTTCTTAGTATTTTGTTGCTTGTAGTTACATAGTAGCAGTAGGGGGAGCTTCAGCCCTACCCACCCCACTGTTGGATCCGTCCTTGATGGAACATGACATCTGTGAGGTTGGTGTTGTCTTCAACATCTTTCTATTTGCTCATAGTTTGATACATCCTCTTGGTCGATATGCATGTCTCGTATAGTAAAAAAACAACGAACATTACTATGAGCAATAAAACAATAGGAGCATATAAATAAATAAGTTCCAAACAATTATAAATATATCGTAAGCCACAGATTGAAGGGCCGTGCTATCCGGTTTTGACAATTCAAGGTCCTTGGTGGTTTCATAGTTTACGACTAAGAATAAACTCCCACGCAAGTTGGAGGTTCAAAGAATAAATTTTACTCTAAAATCAATATCTCACAAATTGTTTAGCTCCTTGACCCTCTACTCACTCTTTTCTTTTTATCTCTCGCTATGGAAAAATGTGCTGGTCAAACATTCTCAACTCTGACTAGATTTATAGGAAATATCAGCAATATCTGTATCTACAAATAAATTTGTTATGAAAATAGATTTAACGCTCTATCTAAATGATACTAATTATGTGACATAAATATTACTATTTTCTTGTATATTTGGTTAAAGTTGGGTATGTTTAACTTCTCGGGACGTGAGAACGATAGATAAAAAGGACAGGAGGCAGTACATTCCATTGCCAATTTGTAGTTGCATTTCTCTCTCTGAAGCATTGCCAAATTCGTGGCAATGCTGCTCATTTCCATCGGAGCCATTATGAATGAACAATGCATGCTATATGCATGAGAAAATTGTACACAAGTATGATGACAAATCAATTCACACATATATATTCACAACTAATGGGATGCACCGGATGCTAATAAACCCCACTCAATCACGAGCGCGAAGATTCTGATGATCCATTAGTGGAGGAACACATGGAACAGCTTCCAACAAGAGATCAGACTTCCGGCGCGCCGTGATTCCATACGATTCAGCCATGTCCATCTCACACGGATTTGCTCCGCCAGGCAGCTTCCAGTCGAAGTGATACAGGAGGCTCGCGAGCACGATCTCAATGTTGGCCAGACCAAACGCCATGCCCGGGCACATCCTACGGCCGGCGCCGCCGGGAAGGAACCTGAAGTCGTCCGTGCCGCCAAGATCCACCGTGGCGCCGTCCTCGAACCTCTCAGGCTTGAACTCGTCGGCGTCAGGCCACGACCTTTCGTCCCTGCTGATTGCCCACACGTTGACGAACACCGTGGTGCCCTGAGGCACGTGGAAGCCCAGAACCTCAGTGGACTCAGAGCACAGCCGTGGGAGGATCAGCGGCACTGGAGGGTGCAGCCTGAGCGTCTCCTTGATCACCGTCTGCAGGTAGGGGAGGCGCCCCTCGATGTCTGCCTCTGCCACCCGTCCTCTTCCCTCGAGGACTCGCCGGACTTCTGACTGAGCTCGATGCATCGCGCGCGGATTCCTGACGAGCTCGGACATCGCCCAGATCGTCGTCGTCGCCGTAGTCTCTGAGCCGGCGGCGAAGAGATCCTGATTGCAATGGCATGAATGAGTACGCACGCGGCAAAAAAGAAGTTTTATTGGAGGACGTGCATGTCATGTGAGTGAGACTTACGAACAAGGCGCCGCTGAGAACTTCTGCTGTGAGGATGGTCCCCAGCCTGCCACCGCCACCGCCGTCGCCATCGCCGTCCTTCTGAAGCCGTAGCAGAACGGCAAGAATATCCTCTCTACGTCCAGCGCCGCCGCCGTCGCCGCCTCCATTGTTTGCATGGTGCTGGATGATGGCTTGCATTATGTGATGGATCCTGTGGTGCACCTGCGTGACAGCGCGCAGGGAGCCGGCGCCGAGCGCCCGGGCGAGGCGCGACCCCGGGAAGAGGTCGATGAGGTTGAACCCCGCCATGAGCTCCAGCCCCTTGTCAAGCTCCTGGATGTACTGCTCTCTCATCGGGCACGTGTCGCCGATGACGCACCTCATGAGGATGTCGTTCATCAGGACCTTGACCCTCTCGGTGACGTTCACCACTGCCGCCGGCGACGCCGCCGCCGCGACGGACACGGACCGGACAAGGCTCGCCGCCTCCTCCTCCCGGACGGGGCGGAAGGACAGCACGCGCTTGGGGCCCAGCAGCTCCGTGGCGCAGAGCCGGCGGATCTCCTTCCAGTGCCGGCTGCCGTACGGCGCGAAGCTGATGTTCCGGCCGCCGTAGGTGAAGATGTCCATGCTCACGTAGAGCGGCCGGTTAGCGAACACGGCGTCGTGGGTCTTGAGGACCTCCTTCGCCGCCTCCGGGGAGGAGACCACCACAGTGGGGACGTGCCCGAGGCGGAGTTGCATGACGGGGCCGTATCTCTGCGCCAGCGCCCGCATGGCGTGGTGCGGCAGCGCGCCGAGAAGGTAGTGAAGGTTCCCGATGACCGGCAGCGGCCATGGGCCTGGAGGCAGATTCAAGCCGCCGGCGCCGTGACGGGAGAACAAGGACGACCTCAGCAGCTTCTTGTGGAGCACAGTGACGACGACGAGGATGGAGATGGGTGTAGTACACGGCGGGTGTGAATGCGATTTCTGCCATGGGAGCGTCGAGAAAATTGTATATTTAGGACTCCAAACAACGCACTCTGTAAATTTAGGACTTCAAACATCGACTTCATAAAAATAACCCTCCGGTCTCTTGATTTTCATAACATTTGGTGTATTTCTTCTCTTTCTTAATCTAAATATATGTATTTTGGCGAGCACGGCCACCTCCGCGTAGAACTCCGACACCTTCTTGGACCGGTAGATCTTCTTGATAGCCACGCGCTGCCCCGACGGGAGGTGGCCGAGGTACACCTTCCCAGCGCCGCTAGAGCCGAGCAGCAGCTTCTTGTCGTATCCGTTCGTCGCTTGCATCAGCTCCTGACTTGGTGAAGATGTAGAGACCTTCGCGCGGTAGCGGTGGCAGCGACGCCACCGAGTCGTCGCCGTCGTCGCTCGAGTCGTTGCCGCTCTCGCTGTCTCCTCCTGCAGCCATCCTACGTCGGCGACGGATTCTTGTGACTGCCACGGCAGCGAAGCCGAGACAGACGACTGCCGCGACACTTGCCGCAGCCGAGCCAGCGGCGATGGGAAGAGTGCTTTTGCTCGACGAGGAAGAAGAACTGGAAGCAGGCGGAGGGGACTAGTTAGCGGAGGCAGCAGCAAGCGGCGGCGGCGGCGGCGAAGGGACGAGTTCGCCGGTGCCGAGGCTGTTGACGTTCTCAAGGACCTGGAGCATGCAGAGCGCGTACTCGTTGTTAGACAATCGATCTGTGATTGATTGGTTCCATAAATCTAGCAACTAGCATATACTATGCATTTGAACTTGCCGGTAATTAGACATGTCGAAGTTTATGTGATATATAGTCCTTCTTTACTAATGAATTGCAGAACGAACAAAATAAGTGAGAGATAATCCAAAGTCCAAACCCGATGTTGGAGCATACGCGATGCACAGCGATGACTTCCATTGTTTGGCCGGTTCTGCTCAAAATCATTTGTCACGGCCTGCAGGAAAGTTGACTCTGAAAAGGACAAAACAAACTCCAGACCACGGCAGCAGCATCTACTACCATTGTTTGTTGGAGGATGCTAAGATTACTTGTAAGTTCAACATTCTTTACTAATGAATTGCAGTACGAACAAAATAAGTAAGAGATAATCCAAAGTCCAAACCCGATGATGGAGCATATTCCATTGTTTGGCCGGCTCTGCTGAAAATCATTTGTCAGTCTGCAGGAAAGTTGACGCTGAAAAGGACAAAACAAACTCTAGACCACGGCAGCAGCATCTACTACCATTTGTTTGTTGGAGGATCCTAGTATTACTTGTAAGTTCAACATTCTTTGTTTTCTTATTAGCATGGAAAACTCCATTACTCCATGCAAATCTTTTGTAACCAAGTCAGGAATACAACCCTTTGGAGTATTGTGGAAGAACAAGAAAGCACCCTGATTCAAACTCACCCCCAAGGCCCCAAGACATGGGCTACTGTCTTACACACACGTACACGACGAGGGTCGTTTTCCAAGGACGAAAACGACAAGGGTCGCCGACGCCGCCCGCCTCATCGAGGCTAGATTTTCACCTGGAGATCAGGAGTGTGGAGTGCCATGGCAACACCTCTGAAGAAAAATTGGGCCTGAAGGCGTCGCCATTGTCTTACCGGTAAGATCACGGGCAAGGCTTAATTCCAAGAGACCTAAACTTTATCTTTTTTTTTGACATATATAGTGTGAACTTGAGATGCCCCTGTATGCAAGCTGTTATAAACAAGTTTACTGCAAGTGCAATCTTTGCATAGGTGCTGATCAGGTATCACAGCACAGTGAACCGAGCAAAAATTTGCAATCCGATCGTGCACGCAGACATGCATGTTTTTTTGCAAATTGTTTTCCATAAGGAATTTTTTGTGTGTATGTTTGTAAGGACGTCGATACAAACAACCAGCATTTCAGTTCAGCTCTAGCTTAATTTCCAGATCGACTAGAAGTTCATTTTTTTTCGCATGGAGCCAGTGAATTGAACAAGATTTGACAGCGAACAAACATGCTTGAAGCTTGATCCATATATATCCAGCCTGTTGGAGAAAACGGGTGGCCACGTCAGATGCGATCGAAAGCAAGCAGTCTGCATTGCATGAATGGAAGTAACCCGAATGCACAGTAGTCAAAGTAGCACAAAAGCAGTACACACAGTATGCAGCATAACAAGACACACAAATAGCCAGATAATATATACTAGTATAATATGCGCTGCACTGAAGAAAAGATAACAATAGAGCTGCATACATATATAGCATAATCAAGCCTTCAACGATCTCTTCAAATAAACAGATGATAATGTATACAGAACCATCATCTGGCATTCTGATTCATACTCACGCTACCAATACACATACTTGTCATAATCCACAAGGTCATCGTTATAGTTACACTCCTCGTAATAATCAAACTCTGGCATAAGCGCGTCCCGCCTGCCACGCATGTTGCTAAGCCTGCCCCGCTTTTTTCAAAAAAAAAAGTCTACCCCGCATACACCTCTAGCCTGCACACCCGCCCCTGCATGATAGTGCGCTTACGAATGCAATTGTGCGCCTCATGCCTGTTGATGCCTGCCTCGTGCCTGCTGATGCACGTGCAAGTGGGGACCGCTACACCCACGGGGACTGCATCTGCATGCGCTCACTTACTACACTTGCTAATGTAGCAACGTAAAAGCACTTCTGCAACATACGTCTGAAATAGGTGAAACTTACAAACACACACGTTTGTAACATATGTATATATCAACTACAATATCCAGATTAAATACATTTGCAACATACGTCTGAAACAGATGAAATGTTTTGAATAGACGCTTGCAACATAGCTGAAACATATGCAACATTGCAAAATATGTAACATCCATATGAAACACTTACAACATAGGTCTAAAACAGGTGAAACATTTAGAACATACACTTGCAACATACATGTATAGCCACTGCAACATATGCAATATCGAGATAAAACACTTGCAGCATACGTTTGAAACAGCTGAAACATTTAAAACATACACTTGTAACATACGTGTATAGCCATTGCAACATATGTAACACCAGATCTACTTTTGCAACATCCAGATGAAACATATGCAACATACATCTAAAACGCATGAAACATACAGTTACAACATGTGCTCATCTACTTGCTGCTGCCCAATGGAGGCTAGTTGACGCGACGCGAGGGAGCGCAGTATGAGGCGCGGGAGGCACGTGGCGCGAGGCATGAGCGGGGGCGCGGACAGCGCGAGGCACAGGTAGGGTGCGCGACACGAGGCGCGGGGCGCACGCCGCGACGCGGGTCTAGTGCGACCGTGCGAGGTGTGAGGTGCAGGGGCACATGACACGAGGCGGGAGGCGCAAGGGCGTGCGGCGCGAGGCCCAGGGCGCACGCGGCGCGAGACGGGTCCGGTGTGACCGTGCAAGGCGCAAGGTGCAGGGGCGCACGACGTCAGGTGGGAGATGTCACGGCGCGCGGCGCGAGGCGTGTCTGTCCAGTCCGGAACGGACGGACGTCCTGATAGGAGCGTTATCGTATTTTACTATCCCTGTTTAGGTATAAATTTTGTGTTCAGTTGGTGTAAATTGACTGATCGTAAATGAGGCAATTAATTGGACAGTTATCTGATCTTTTTTGTTTTTTATTTTTGTATGTTTTATTTGGGCTCCAAATTGAGGGTTTATGTGGCCTGCACCACCAGGGTGCTGGAAGCCCTAGAAACACCCGAGCGTGCGGTAGACAACCCCGTTAATCAAGCCACAAATTGGAGGCCATGGTACCCGGTTTTGACTAGAGCTAGGACTTGGACCGTGCCATTTGAGGATGGGTAATGGCACGGTCTTTTAGTACGACCCGAAGCACGGTACGATACGAAATATTTTGGGCCGTGCTGGCACGACACGAACACGAGGGCCGTGCCGTGCTGTGCCCGGGATCTCGGCACAGCGAGCTACATGGCCCGGCCCGTATCTTGGACCGTGCTTGGGCCGGCACGACACGAAAACGACACGAGACACTTCTACAATTATACAATGCAATTTTCTAGCATTTACTATAATACTCTTATCTGATTCTTGAATAAATTATAAAAATCATTAAATTTTCATTAAAGTACACATAAGAGATATATATTTGATATCACGAGTGAAAAACAAAACTAGCAAAGATACTTCGAGGGCCGTGCTTGGGCCAGCACGATTCGAAGGTGTGCGAGCATGCCACGGGCGGTGCTTGAGCCGAAGAAAAGATTCACCGTGCCATATCGGCACGGCCCGACGTGCCTCCCGTGCTAAGAGAGTACGGCCTGAAGTGACACGAAGCACGAGAGGGCCGTGACGGCACGGCCCAAGTCTCATCTCTAGTTTTGACTATTCAAGGTCCTCGCAGTTTCATAGTTTAAGGCTAAGAATAAACTCTGGCAGCAAGTTGGAGGTTGAAAAATAAATTTTACTAAAATCAATATCTCACAAATGCTTTAGTTCTTTGACCCTGTCTTCTAACCTACATTCCATTGCGAATTTATAATTGTATTTTAATTTTTGGGAGTGTCTAGTTATCTGTCAACAGATTTTATGTAATGAAATCTGTCAGATCTTTTAAAATATGATCCAGTAGTGACAGTTGTAGCACAAATCAAACGTATAGAAATTTGGAAGATGAAGTAAAAAAATCTATCAACAGATAAATAATAAAAGTCTTAATTTCTAATTAAATCCATGATAACGCTCCTCATGTGTGCAGGAGCCATTTTACAATTTACATGAACAATGCATGCTATATGCATGAGAAAATTATACACGTGCCATGACAAAACAAATTCACACGCACGCACACGCGCACACCATTAACCCCACTCAATCACGAGAGCGAAGATTCTGATCCATGGGTGGAGGAAGAGGAACACATGGAACAGCTTCCAACAAGAGAGGAGACTTCCGGCGTGCCGTGATTCCATACGATTCAGCCATGTCCATCTCACACGGATTTGCTCTGCCAGGCAGCTTCCAGTCGAAGTGACACAGGAGGCTCGCGAGCGCGATCTCGATGTTGGCCAGACCGAACGCCATGCCCGGGCACATCCTCCGGCCAGCGCCGCCGGGGAGGAACCTGAAGTCGTCGGCGCCGTCGGCGAAATCCACCGCACCGCCGTCCTCGAACCTCTCGGGCTTGAACTCGTCGGCGTCAGGCCACGACCTCTCGTCCCTGCCGATCGCCCACACGTTGACGAACACCGTGGTGCCCTGAGGCACGTGGAAGCCTAGGACCTCGGTGGACTCAGAGCACAGCCGTGGGAGGATCAGCGGCACAGGAGGGTGCAGCCTAAGCGTTTCCTTGATCACCGTCTGCAGGTATGGGAGCCTCTCCTGGATGTCGGACTCTACCACGCGTGTTTTGCCATGGAGGACTCCCTGGACTTCTGACTGAGCTCGCTGCATCGCGTCCGGGCTGCTGACGAGCTCGGAGATCGCCCAGATCGTCGTCGTCGGCGATAGGTACCCTTGTCGGCAACTGGATGGCCGACAAAATCTTATCGGCCTCGGAGCGGCCAATGGGATCCATTATCGGCAGCTGGACGGCCGATTCGACCTTGTCGGCGTCCGTGCTACCGATAGGCTCCCTTGCCGCCGCCTGGACACTTTTTTTTTAAAAAAAATCGACAACAAGAGTCACTGAGGAACAGAGCCAGGCTACCGATGCTCCTGATGTGCTCCAGAACAATCCCTGCAGAGTCAATCTTGAATAAATCCATATCATGGCCATAGCGGTGCTCGAAGACCGCCTAACATTTCTCCGGCGCCGCCGGCAGCGGACTCAACTACGTGACAAGGGTAGCCCATCTGATGGTAGAGCTAACGACGAAGGTTAAAAAAGGGAGAACATTTGCCGGCTGCGTCTACTGCTATCAGAGGCAGCCTCCGTGCAGCAGAGTTAGGATGCCACTCAAAAGCGAAGGTGAAGGGGTTGAGGACGCGCACGGCTTGCGGCGAGCCCCTGGCCGCCAGGACGAGGAGGCTGCCGGTGGTGGTGGTGATGAAGATGTAGTCGCGGAGGAGTGGCAGGAGAATGCGGGCGAAGCTGCTGGTGGCGTAGTTGAGGAAGAGGCGGCGTGTCGTGCGTCGTCGGGCGTTAGACCTGGAGGAGGAGAACTTGTCTTCGTCCAGCATGACCCACCGGGTGGGTTGAGCGGGGTTCCTGCTGGTAGCTCCAGGGTCGGCGGTGGAGAAGCGCCAGATGCGGCGGACGCCTCGCAGGTCCATGTAGTAGTCGAGTCGAGGTCGCTGGTGGCTATGAGACAGGTCGGCGACGCGGTTGACGAAGTTCCTCCAGAAGCGAGGACCAGCCCTGCGCCATGGCCTCGATCGACCCTCGTGGGCTCCGGGTTGCAGGGACTTGTTTGTTGTTTGGTGCTGTGCTGATGATGTAGGCAAAGAGAGCAGGGGGTGATGGGGGTTAAATAGTAGAGACAGGCAGCCAGCAGGAAGGCGACGTGAACGCGGCGCTTGAGGTCGAGTGGAATAAGAAGAAAAGAAGCGGCCATATGATCCACCAATGCGTGGCATTGCTATTTACTGCTCGCTGCAGTTATTATCATTCTTCCCCTGGATTTGGGAGTGGGAGACTGAGATTTGGTCGTTCCAAATCCAACAATCCAATCGAAAAAAGTTTACTTATCTTTCTGAAGTAATTGTTCAAGTTCTATTTGCCTTTAATTAGAAAATCAGCTTTTTTTAAAAAATCTCCTATTTTTAAAATCATCCAATTTATCTCCCCAACTGGTTTTTAAAGTGCTTTTGGCTCATAGCGTCACGCCAACCGTCGTAAGCGTGAAGAGACAGATAAATTAGACTTTCTCGAATAAATATGTGTTTAAAAAAATTATGGAACTATTTTTGGGAAATAAATATAAAATAATCTTTCAAAAAATATCCACATATTTTTCAGGGTTCACTTAGACTTTCTTAAAAAAGTTATCCAAATATTTTTCTAGAATAAATATGCATTCAAAATAGAACAAATGACTTTATCAAAATAATAGAAATACTTTTATGGAATTAATTTAGAAATACTTTTCTCAAAAATATCTAAATACTTTCTAGAAAGTATGAATTTTCTAGAATAAGTATGAGTCCAGAAATAAATCTAATTAAAATTTTGAAATAATCAAAGAAAATTTGTTCTACCATAGAAAAATATAAAACCAGCTACCACAATTGTTTGAGAAGTTGCACGCCAGCTATTGCATGCTGATGGTTCAATGAGTCTGCAGTTCTCCACACGTTATTGTTGTGATGTACCCGGGAGAAGACAATTGTTGCAACAAAGTTAAACGACATGGTATGTGTTAAGATAAGAACATAACTTGAATTATACTTTTATTTGGAATTTTCTATGCATGTCTCAAAGGTTAAGCAAAACATTGCTACTGAGCAAATGTTGTTTGTAGTTTACATGGCAGGTTGCAAGGCGATACGCGATGCGATCTTCAAAGATTTGTCTTGGCTGCATCTTCCCTTTCATATTTAGTTCAGTTTCGAATTTTAGAGGACCACATAAGATTGAAATAGTTCTAAGCAAGGGACAAAAATATAGAGCCAGATTGCAGAAAAAGAATATAAAACTGGATTCATATTTTTTTGAGTTAAAATATTTTTTATTAATTTTCTAAGTTTTGATCAAATTTAGTAATTTTAAATGCATATATTTTCTGAGTTAAAACATTTTTTGCTAAAACTTTATATTAACCTTTTAGCATATTAATGATTTTAAATAAAAAACTAAAGACTAGAAAGTTGTAGATCATATCGAGAGCTACAATTGTGACATAAAAAATATTTTTATCTGAGGTCGTATGAAAAAGATACAATTTTTAAAAGGTTGATCCTTGCTGTGAACATGGGTCCCATATGTCAGATCCATGTAAGCATTGAATTGACATGTCACGTCAGCTACCGGGTCAGGTAAAAGCCCGTTGGGACCTGAATGAGACCGAACCAACTCCAGGGACCCAAAAGTGCATTTTGTGACTTTGGGGACGCATATGATACCTATAGACAATTTCAAAGATCTCCGCTGAATTTCACTCAATGAGAAACAAACAAAAGCAAAGCTCAACTCCTCTAATGTAAACATCGACTGCGGACCCATGTATAGAGTAACGAGAATGCTTGGCCACGGGCGTCCGCCCCATTCGGACGATGCGCGCCTCACTCCAGACACGCGCGTCCCACTTCGCCTTGTGGTAGCGGCCATCCCCGCATGCGACCCCATCTTGCGCCCGACCGCCTCACTCCGCCACCGCGCGCACCCCTATCCTGCGCTTGGCTGACCCACTCCACCATCCCCCGCGCTCGCAGCGTACCCCATCCTACGCCGTGTCGCCCCACTCCGCATCGCCGTCGTGGCCATCCACCACCGTGCCCCAATTTGCGCTTGCCCGTCACGGCCACGACGTGCACAACGCCACCACCACCCCGATGCCACCGGGAGAAGGTCGTTGTCGGCTGGGACATCATCTCCCATGGTTCATTGAAGACACCACGATAGGAGGACCCGTATGTTGCAAGTCCATGTTTCAAGTGTTTAAGATGTATGGATGTTGCATAAGTTGCAAGTGTTTCAGAAGTATGTTGCAGGTGTTTTAGAGATATGTTGCAAGCGTCTATTCAAAATGTTTCATCTATTTCAGACATATGTTTGCAAGTGTTTTATCTCGATATTGCATATGTTTTAGTGGCTATAAACATATGTTTGAAACGTCTATTCAAAATATTTTATTTGTTCCAGACGTATTTTGCTAGTGTTTTATCTAGATGTTGCATGTGTTGCAGTGGCTATACATATATGTCGCAAGCGTATGTTGTAAATGTTTCACCTTCTTCAGACGTACGTTGCGAAAGTGCTTCATATTTCAACATTAGCAGGCGCAAGAAGCCGACGTATGCGCTGTTCCGTGTGCGCGGGAAGCGAAGTGGGCGTGGGTGGTCCCCACTTGCATGCGCAGCAGGGCGGCCGGGCAGGCGCAGCAGTTGTAGCCCCATACGGGGCAGGCTCAGCAGCATTCCGGCAAGGCGCGTCCAAACAGGGCCAGCGTCCGCACGTCCCGGCGATAGGCACACTCAGATTTTCAGCGATACTGGGGCTGCTCTTAGCGACAGAAATGACTTGCAATGTGTTTAATGAAATGAGTGGTCCACCTTGGTTCATTCAATGGCAGGGGCAAAATTGTTTTCTCCAGAGAAACTTAACCACTTTAACAGCAACACGACGGAAGTGTCATTTTTTTTTTTGCAATGGTTTTACAAGACTAATTTCAGTAGCATGCTCAGATCGAGTCATAAAAATTTTGATGGCACCGAGGGAATTGGCTTCAAAAACGTAGTCATGTCAGTTTTCTTTTTGGCAAAATTAAGCCTCACTTATTAAAAGAAAACTAGACGCAGAGGCTCTACTGTCTTAAACAATATGGTTCATGTAAATTAATGCAAATCTTTCAACCCAGTTTTCCCACAACGGCATGCGTCCGCCCACCTTGTCCTCCGGCTGTGCATTGCATATGTATCCCTTTTCACTGATCAGATTCAGAGGACCCTCCATCAGAACCGTCGTCATCATCTGAGAAATAATCTTCTTCATCAGAATCCTCCTCGTCGTCATCCGAGCAATCTTCCTCGTCATCGATCATAACTTCGCGGCGCAGTTCAGAACACTGGACAAACTTGCAGTATTTTGCAAAAACATGGGTGAGGGTGAACGGCTGGAAACAATATGCTGGTATGGGGCTTACATCCACCATAGGCTGCTGCACTCCGTCGGCACCAGGGAAGCGAACAACGGTCATGAACGAGAACTGAACGTCGAAGTAGCAGCTTCCGGTGACGAACTGATCCACAAAGTAGATGCAGCCACCTTGGACGGCCGGGAACTTCTCGGCGTCGATGGAGACACACCTGACACGGCTGAGGAAGAGGGCGCGGCTGCCGATGGTGCTCACCGGTTCAAGCACGTTCCTCACGGTGTCCACCCTGTGGACGTCCACATGATCGACGGTCAACTGATCGCCGGGGCAAGCCATACCAAGCACGTCTGATCACAAGCAGCAGCTCTCCCCCAGACTCCACGAGGTAATAATGGCAATGGCCACCCTCCACCGCCTCCGGAATGGCAGTGGCCATGGAGATGCTCTGAGCTGAGCGGCTGCAACGTGGACCTTGGGAGGCGCCATCGTCGACGACGGCCGCAGCAGTTGTAGAGAGTACGGCTCCTTGCCGGTTGGTGAGGTACACGTCGCCGGCGAAGGGAACCATGCATAGGAGACCGTCGTCGGGGTAAGGCGCCGGCGCTGCGCACTTTCGGAAGTACTTGCTGTCCTGGTCTGCCCACAAGACGGCGCCATCATCTAGCATGCAGACAAACACTGTCATCGTTGTCGGCGGAGGCGCTGCGATCACGGCGACCTCCCTTGCATCACCTGTGGGAACGCGCGCCTTGAAGCGGGCCAGCACACCCGTGAAGGGGTTGAGCACGACGGCGCGGTAGGGGTACGTTGGCTCCGCGAGGAGGACGAGGCCGCCACTGGCGGCGCCGACGAAGAAGTATTCGCGGAGCAGCGGGATCCTCTTGCGGAGGAAGCGGCCGGTCTCCATGTTGACGAGCGCGAGGACGTCACTGTCGTGCCGGTCCAGCACCGCCCACTTGCTCGTCTGGAAGAAAGTGGGATCGTCGGTGCAGTTTGCCGCGTTGTTGTCCTTGAGGGTGCGGCGCCAGTTGTGGCAGACGGCACGGAAGGCCATGTAGTAGTCGATGTCGTCGGCAGCCAGGACATGGTCGCCGACGCGGCGGACGAGGTCCGGGGTGAGCGACGACCAGTCGGGCTCGGGCGCCGCCGCCGCCGTAGGGGTAGTCGTCGGCGGCTGAGCAGGACGACGAGCCCTCTTGTGCTGCGTGGACGGTGGTGTGCAAGGCATGCTGGGGCCGGGCGTCGGTGGAGCAGGACGAGCCCTCTTGTGCTTGGAGAGCGCGCAAACCATGGCAGACTAGGAACTTATGCTTGGATGCAATGGTGATCGATCTGCTGCTTGTTGGGCGTACGTGAGCGTAAATATATATTCTGATCGAGGGTGGAGGCAGCCACTTGTTCTCACTCGTCAACGACGTCTGTTGAATTGGCGGGAGTTTGCTCTGGCTCGGATCAACGCCCCTCATAAAAAATGGCGCCTTGGCGTTGGTGATTTTGGCAATGGTTAAATGTAATGCAAATGCAGTTTTCACTTTTCACACCAAAGGCAGGCGTGCGTATAAACTCAGAACTCTTTATTCAACAGGCGCCGGTTCGGTTTAACCATTGCTTGTTTAATAAGTGAAAAAAAAACAGCACACGGTTTCAAGCAGCTGAAAAAAAAAGAAATCTGAGTTCAGGCCCACTCGCCTTCTGGGCCAGTATTTTGAGCCCAAGTCATCGTCTGCCATCAGGCCCTGGATGCAAGCGGGCCGACGAGAATTTACATTTTAGGCTCCAAAAAGAAATCATGTAGTTCGAGTTCATTTTCCTTTTCTTTTTGTTTTAATTTTCGCCCATACAGTTCGAGTTCAAATTATGTACTACCTGCCAAAGCCCAAGGGCAGTGCGTTATATATGAACAACAACAACAAAAACTAACGGCATCGTTATAATACAGGCCCAACCTACTGAAAATTATTCCCCGCTAATACGAAATTACGTAAACGTGAGATTTCATCAAAATCTGGCAATTAATACGGTCCCCATGCATGTGTACAGCTCGACTAAGGTTCTTCAGCATCAAATCACTTGCCAAAATGGTGTGCTTCACACCAACTAAACAAGCAGGAACTCACATGCATTCTCTCCAAGAGGCCACACAAATATAGGTATCGAGCTGAATTATGCACTTATGCACCAAGCTGAATGCACTGATACACCATGATCAATTTGATCCAAAAGCTTAAGCTTACAAGGGAAAACTAAACCTAGCTTGAAATTAGATGTCATGTGTCAGGTAAAGTATTATTGTATGTGGTGAGCTGGTGCTAAGGAACAATAAAACATATAAAGTATATATAAACAAAATAAATCCCTCGAGTAAGAATGTTTAAGCACAAAGATAACAAAATTGCCAATATCTGCTTGCAGGTGAAAATCTATATATGACTATGTCATGAATATTGATGCCCCACCAAAAATACTTCTTTAGATGAAGAGCCACCCATAGGGGTTGAGAATCGAACCTTGGTTGGCTAGGTGACAAGCACCCTATTTTATGCCTAAGGGAAATCTTCAATACTCCAATAGAAATGACATTAAATTAACGTATATAGAACTAATACCTAGCAAGGTGAGAATCAAACCCTCGTTGATATGCCTAATGGAAATCCTCGGTACTTCGATTAAATAAATGGCATAAAATAATTAACAAATATAGAATTAATACGTAGAAAGGTGAGAATCGAACCCTTGTTGATGCCTAATGGAAATCCTCAGTACTGCAACAAAAATGCCTCTCCGATTAAAATGACATCAAAACATATATAGAATTAATGTGTAGCAAGGTGAGAATCGAACCCTCGTTTGGCTGGAAGATAGCCATCCTCACTAGCCAATATAACTTAAGAAGACAAGTGGTTTTCAGCGGCCTCTGCGCCAAGATGAAAGAAGAGCCTAGTGGGTAATAACATGGGCAAAACATGGGATTCTTTTTGCTCTTTTTATAAGTTTTTTGTCACTTGCCATTTTTTCATTATACTAGTCGATCTCCTCCTGCTAATTAATTAACAAAATAAACGGATGTCATGGGTATGCAAATATATAATTCACCTAGAACTCTACCGATTGAAACATGAACACATCATCCCGTGAAGATACTAATGCACAAGCATTTGAATTCATCATAACATTCGAAAGCTAAAATTGAAAATTTAAGTATTTGACCAACATATCTGGTAACTGATATAATTGGCCATGCCTACATCCCAAAGAAGATTACACACTACAACTCTGCAGCTGCAGCAAATGAAACAACACTGCCCTGGCGGGCTAAAGATTATTAAAAAGAGTAGGCTACCGAACTGAGGAATTTAACAACATGAAATGTGGATATACTAGTATGCTAGCAGACTTGTAGTTGACTTCCTTTAGAGAGAGTAGAGTATGCAGGCACCAAGCATACAACCTCATTCAATCGTCAGCTGGTTCAGAGGAGGATGCTTCTTTGATATCGAGTTCGGAGGATGAGGATTCTTCGTCGTCGAGTTCAGAGGATGATGATTCATCAGATTCAGATTCATCGCCATCCGAGAGATCCATGTCCCAATTGTTAGCCATCATTTCGCACAATTCAGTGTAGTGAATGGACCTGCAGTAATCCGCGAAGACCTTGACTTGGGTGAACGGACGGATGTAGCCTTGTAGGGTACACCAACCCCAATCGAACTTGACGACGTTGTCAGCAACATGAACAATGGTCCTGTCTACGGTCGCATAGTAGCCTCGAGTTACGATTGGTTCCAGAAAGTAGACACAGCCGCCTTGGATGGACGGGAACTTGTCAGCATCGATCGACAAGCACCTACCATGGCTAACGAAAAGGGCACGACTGCCGATGCTACTGACTGGTTCGATTGTCTGGGTCTCCATGTTCACCCTACGAACCACTAGTTGGTCGACAGTAAAGCCCGATGGTTTGGTCACGAGTAGTAGATCCCCCGTAGACTCCACGAGATAATACCTGCCGCTCATCAGTCCTTGGCCACTTGTGTTAAGACTAGGAGAGATGGCTTCCATAGATATGTCTATCGCACATCGTCGCCTCGGTTCGCTGACATCGACGACGACAGTGGACAAGTAGATCGATCCGTACCGATCGATGGCGTACACATTGCCCCCCGAAGGACGTCATGCAGCTAGGCTTGTTAGGGTAAGCAACCGAGAAGTGCTTGAAGGTCTCCATGCTTTGATCTGCCCACATGATCTTGCCATTTTCGGTGGAGATGAAGACCGTTAACAGCGGCTTCGTTGTCATGGCAACCGCCCTCACCCCTTCACACGGTATCCTCACCTTGAAATGGGCGATTGAACCGGTGAACGGGTTCAGAACGCGAGCCCTGTGGGGCTCTGAAGACTCCCCGAGGAGGATGAGGCCGCCACTAGTCGCGCCGACGAAGAAGAACCTACGCAGCAATGGGATCCTCTTGGTGAGGAACCGGCCGGTGTCGACGTTGACGAGCGTGATGAGGTCGTCGCGGTGGTCGAGCAACGCCCACTTGGTGGGCTCGAAGCGAACGACTGGATCAGTTTCATCGCCCGCCTTCGCCTTTGCAGGGTCGTCTTTGGTGGCGGAGCGCCACTCATGGCAGACCTCGCGGAACGCCATGTATGTGTCGATGTCGTTGCTGGCCAACAAGCGGTCACCCATGTTATGGACTAGGTCGTATGGAAGCGATGTCCATGCTAGCGTCGGAGTCGGTGCTTGAGCGAGGCGAGCTCTCTTTTGGGTGGAGAGTGTGCAAGGCATGGTGGTCTCCTGGGTTTGGTTGTTTGCTATGCTTGGGTTTGGTTGGTGGCTTTTATAGCTGTAAGTAGTAATTGGGTGTACGCTAAGGGTCCGTTTGGTTCGCAGCCGGTGCATGCCACGCCAGAGCTGCGGCGGTGCCAAACTTGCGGCGCCAATTTCGTTCGCCACACTTGCAGCATGTTTTGGCAGCAAAAATGCACTGGCACGCGATGGTGAGGCCGCGGAATGCCGCAGCAAACCAAACGCACGCCAAACTTGCGGCGCGGTGCGGCAAAGTTTGGGTGCGAACCAAACGGACCCTAAATAGTTTAGCTGTGTTGCACTATAGTTCATCTGTAATTAAATCTAGTGTTGAACAGCTATAAATGAGTGAGGTAAGGTATATATTACATTATTGGCTATTCTCACCCGTCAACTTTTATCTATATCCATTCATTTGTACCGTTATCCAGCCTATGGAGAAACTAGGTGCCCACCTCACTTGCAAAAGAGGTCCCTATTTTGGCTTCATCCAGCTAACTATTAGATGTGTTAGCTGGAAGAAATCGGCTAACAACTAATTATTAGCTTGGTGGTAGGTAAAATATTAGTTGGCTTATTAGCTGTGGATCCAAACAATTCCTCAACTAAATTTCAACAGCTAACACTAGTTAAGTAGTAAGGGCAACTCCAACCAACCCCACAAAATCTACCCCCCTACTCCCACAAATGTGAGCCCCTCATCCAGATTTCAGCACTCATTTCTCTCTGTACTTCAACCGAACTCTCGTTCATTTCAGTCTTCCTATATTTCTCTCACCTATATTTTATACAAAACTTTTAACCACCAAGTCCAGTATTTTATATCTAAACCATGTTATATCAATTGATACAAAAACAGGTATTGTTGGAATGGATATTTGTTACCAACAGTTTTGTATGGCTAAATATTGAAGGAATTATTTTTTTGAAATAATTTGCAACCACTATTTTCGGACGATTATATATTTGAACCGTCACTCTTTCAACGGCTATGAATTAAACGGTCTTCCAACAGCTATAAATCAAACAACCCTACCCTTCAAACAGCTATATTACAAGTGCTCTATCTCCAATGGTTATATTTTCCCATCTCTATACATGTATGGTCATTCCCCTTCATGAATCAATTCCTACATTATGCTCCTTCTTGTCCACCAAAAATGACTCATGTCTCCCGACTAGATTCCTCTTCCTCATCTGAGAAGGTGATGATGATCTTGAAGAAATCCTTATTGCATTACACCAAGCACACACTCAACATCAAGCTCCCCATGCTCGTACCTGGACGTCAGTACATTCATAGTCAGTACATTGACTTGAATAGTTATAAGAACAAACAAAAATAAACTTGAACAACTAAATAATAAGACCTTTATCTGTTTAAAAAATAATAATAAGACCTTAATCTGTCTAAAACCAGCAGATATTACTCAATAGGTCTAAAAAATCTCATGAAATTCAGAAAAGTTCTACCGGCAATT